TAGTCAAAAACGGCAGCGCCACCTACATATTTCATTAAAATCAATCTTTCTTTTCAAACATGCATTTCACAAGGTGTTTCCATATTTTTGTCCATCCACTGTATATAGTTCATTTTTATCCCAATGATTAGTTTATAATTTTAGTGTAAAGTAAATTGTTTTAAACTTTCTGTAATACTTGTATTAATGTAACCTCAGATGCTTCAAAAATAATCATAGCTACTATTATTATGCTTTCGAGTGCTTTGCCGTAGTCAAATAAACTAATATGATTGATAAACTTTATATACTTTGGCTTAATCAAACATGCGCTGGTTGCTCAAATGAACCCGGTTGGGCAACCAGCACATGTTTGATTCCATAATTCGCATGTTTGCAACCAGCACATGTTTCAAAATTCGCAACCAGCGCATGTTTGATTCCAAAATAGGACTGATCCGTACAGCCAGCCTGTGAACCGACTGGCTGTACGGACGTTTTTATGCTTTTCCCCATGCGTAACTTAGATACAAGCGTTTTTTCTAGAACGTTTTTTCGCGAAGGCGGCCCTTTCTTTAGGCAGATAACCTTAGAGCGCTTTGTCGTAGTTAAAAACAAAGAAAACCAAAATTAGTCCAATGTCATACGCCGAACACAGAAGGCCTGTTAATCTCGAAAGAGCATTTTGCGTCGAATCACTATAAATGGTAGCATCACTTTTCAGTTTGTTGCCATCAGATATTATCGCCATGTATTATACTTAAGAAATTAAATAATGAAGAGTGTGCATGAATGTATGTATGTTTCTCGAAGTGTGAAGAAGCAATGATACTGCCACTAAATTTTGAATCGCGCAGTCCTCCACCCGAATATTTGCACCTGGAAGCTCGAATCTTCAATTTCGAATCTGTTTTCTTATTTACTTCATATTTTTTTAATTAAAAAAATTTCGATTAAGAAACTCAACTATTTCAAAGCGAACATTTGCAACCCATTATCTTCTTCTCTACATATAATAAAAGAAAGAGTCTGTCTGTGTGTGTGTGTGTCTTTCGTTCGCTCTGAGCGTAAGCTAATAGATCCACGGCTACGAAATTTGGTACATAGGTGCATCTAGACAAGAGCCAGTGCACCTCGAAGCGATTTTTTCGAAATTAGAATTTTTTTTTTATATGTTTTGTGACGAAATCGCGTCATTTTGAGACAATGGGCTATAGGAAAGCGAGATTTTACTTTACACACTCCATTTTCACATCGTCATGAAACGTAGGCACTTAGCTATTTTACGAACTTAAAATAAATTTCGTGTTTCACTAAATCGATTAAATACGAATTTATTTAACAAATGGAGCTTAACACCTTTTCAACGGGATTTTTTCTAAAAAGGTTTATTGTTAGAAATGTAAGTTTATTTTTCTTTGATTTTTGGACACGTTAAACTTTCACCCTTGCGACTGCTTTTACAAAAAGAATTTTAGAAAAATGATAATATTTTGTATTTTTAAAACTTTTTTAAATGAAGCTTCCGAGTACACTTCTCACATCTTTAAAAATGTGATTTTGGCAACAATTTTCCTGTCTTATTGTTGTTGATAGATTTTTGATGAAATCGCATCATTTTCAATAGTCTTTTAGAAATATTGGCAACAATTTTTCATCGTATTTCTTATGTCACTGTTTTTAATAGATTGGTATATTTCATTGTCATACATTTTTTTTTTTTTTTAATAAAGTTGTTCTGCAGAGTAAAATTCCGCACGGAATTTTATGTTTTTTGAGCTGCTTTCATGTTATTTTTTTGCTTATTTCATTGTTTGTAAGATACTGAAAAGTTTTGCATGATTTTTTTTTTTTTTTTTTTTTTTTTTTTTTTTTTTTTCTTTGACGGAAAGTTGGTTAATTTTTTTATTAGGATAATTAATATTTGTATTAAGGAATATAGCTTATTTCATTGTATTTTTTCTCTTGAAAATATAAGATAAGATATCATTAATTATAATTTGCTTTTCAGAATTGTGTGTATTCTTTTATGCTATTTATTGCTCATTTCACCGTTTTGAAGATATTGAAAAGTTTTGAGTGATTTTTTAGGAAAGAAAGTTCTTAACCTCCTTTATACCATTTGAGTTCTTAAGATTTTGCAAAGGGAAGTTGGTTAATTTATTTATTAGGATAATTAATATTTGTATTAAGGGATATTTCTTATTTCATTGTAATTTTGTTATACGTAATAACTTTTTCTTTGTGAAGTTGTTCTGCAGAGTAAAATTCTACGCAGATTTTTAATTTAACGCTGGATGTTCCCTTCAGCCATTTTTCCGGTACATTTAAAAGACAGACGAAGGCTGGCAGCGAAGCTGCTAGTACGGAATAAAATATTTTAACCCCAGTGCACGAGATCGTCTATCGGAAATTCTGAAGATATGCTATTTTTAAATATTTTTAACCCGCTCTCGAAACATGTATGTATGTGTAAATGAAAAGAAAAACCGCCCCTTTTGACGTTTAGATTCCTTTTTTAGAATTTTTATTTATTTATCTATTACTAGGCTTATCGATAGATTTAGGTTAAGATTTTTTTTTCGCGTGAAAGAATTGCAGATTCCTTCTTTTCTATTGAATTACACAAAGCTAAAATTTGTAAGTGGATCCTGAGCAATAGACGGCGCATGGCAAACCATTATAAAGTAGGTATACAGATACAACCTATAGATATATTAGCAAAAGATCTATTAGAGTTTGTAAGATTTAAACGATTTTCTTTTCTTTTCTTTATCATACGAAAAGAGTTTAACCCTTTAACTGCTTAAGACGTGTTTAAACGTTTTCAGAGTTTCCTTTAAAAATGCTTTAGACGTCTTTACACGAATTTAAAATCGCTCGAAAAATGTTTAAGACGTGTATACACGAAGCCCAAATTTTGCCAAAATTGCTTAAGACGTGTTTAGACGATGCGCTCTGGTGTTCTTTCCCCTACCTTTCTGCAGGCGGTTGTCAGTTGACACAAAGCGCTTAATGGGGTGTGAAGTCTCTTTGAAAAGAGCACTTTACGAAAGAGTCCTGAGAGTGAAGTATCATTGTCAGACAGCATGTATGTGGCGACTAAAAGGTTGAGAATGAAGATAAATTGTTTTACAACTGTTTGCATTATGATACTTTATACAAATGTAAGTCAAACAGGATCTGACGTTGTTAAAGTACATTGCCGAATTTTAGTAGAAACAGGAAAAAATAAGAATTGTAACGGAAAACTCCCTTTTTAATAAATCATATGTTATACAATCAAATATTTTATTTTTGTATTAAAAATTGATTACAATTTCTGATTCGTCAGGAAAAAATATAAAATGTAGCAATCAGCTTTCTTGTTTGCACTCGTATTTCAAATGCGCGTTATTATAATGGTATATTCTTCTCTTTACATTCTGAAATGTTAAAACTGTGCTTTCAGTATGCCTGAGTTTTGTACTCGTATGTGTGGCTCTATTTTCCGTAGAAATGGCGAACTGACATATAAAAATTTTATAAATGTTGAAAGGAAGGTGTTCTACTCGAAAACTTCAATTAAGGGGACTCATACACCTTAAACCCCTCATGATCTTACAATATGTGACTGTTGCAAGAATTCGGATATTTTATTTATTTTAAAAGCACTTACTTCCAACTTTTTACAGCTGACTACATAATATAACTGCTTTGGAAAATAGTAACCAGAAAGTTTGTGTTGCCACAAATATTTTTTAACTTAATCCTCTTTTTGACAAAATATTTCGCCATGTTTCCACCTTGCGCGCATGATATTTAAAAAATGGCTAATGGTACATACTTGAAATTTGATGAAATTTTTTATATGGGCACTATTTTCTAACTGAACCAAACAATCTGATGAATATTTTCAACAACTGAAAAAATTTTATGCGACGAAAACATTGACAGATTTATTGTTAATAAAATGCATTTTATAAACTCAACTCCAAATAAAATAAAAATTTAACATGAAATTCTTAGAATTTTAGGTTTACAGTAGTTTCCAAATATTATAAAAGCTCTATATTAAATATGGAATTAAATTATGCAATAGAATGTTTTAAACTGTGTGCGGCAAGGTTGGAAACTTGACGAAATATTTGTACCAACAAATCGGATTAAATTATAAAAAATATTTGTGGCAACACAAACTTTCTGATTACTATTTTCCAAAGCAGTTATATTATGTAGTCAGCTGTAAAAAGTTGGTAGTAATTTCTTTTAAAATTAATAAGTTATCCCATTTCTTGCAACAGTCACCTATTCGAACATCTTATGGGTTTTAAGGTGTTTTAAGGTGTTTTAAGGTGTTAAGGAGTCCCCTTAATTGGAATAAATCAATACACCGAAGGAATTTCAGAAATATTTGTTTTAAAAATTTATTATTAAGATTTTAAATCCACAATGTTCTAAAATCCAAGGGGAAAAAATACGTATTCCTTGAAACTTTTTTGGAAAGAAATCTATCGCTATAAAATCGCTTAAAATTAATGGAGTGTAAATTAAGTAAAACTGTTAGTGTATGGAAGGGTTAGATATATTCCGCACAAAAAAATTAAAATCAGAAGAACAATTACCTAAAGAATTAAATTAATTACATTAAAAGAATTTAAAATAAATTAACATCTCTCCAAATGTCAATGCTAACAGCAAAAGCACGAATGAAAGTTATTCTTTAAGTTCCGAACTTAATTCATCTGTCGGTACGCAATGATTGTGTCGTTGCAATTAGATTACTTTTCATATAGATACTACAAAAGGCCGCCAACGACGTAGCAGTAAAATCGTTGAATACTAATAGTTTGAAGCGGGTTCAAATCCTGGCGAATGGATTGCCTGCATATCAGTTATCTCGAATTTTTGCTGCCCACGTTTAAAATGTTTTCTGTCAAATATAATTAAGTCATTTAGCGAAACTTCCATTAATACTATAATTACATATTCTACTATTAGAAGTTCTGGTTTTAATTGTAATATATAAAAAATAATTCAGATTCTTCATAGGAATTTCATTTATGTATTTTCAATCATTTCAAAACCATAGTCAAATGAAATGTTTCATCTAATTTACATTAACTATGAAAGTAACAAAATTGGAAATGCAGTACATAGTACAGAAAAAAAGTTAAATTTATAATTAATTATTTCAATACCTTATTTCATTACTTTCTTATTTTAAAGAATATATATTTATTACTTCCATTTTTAAGAACACTATAAGCATTTCTTCGGAAGCGAATATAAACATATCTATGATTTTAAGACATTTTATAAGACTTACCATTAAAAAATGCTAAAGCATTTTTCCATAATATTCCGATATACATAATAGTTATAAATATGTGCTAAATTTCTCCATGAAATATTCTAATAAATATTAAATACACTTACTTATAAAAATTAATAGCTGTCGTTAGGGACAAATCAGTGAATAATTAATAACCGTATTAAATTCAGAATATTAGCACAAAAAAAATCCCTGCTGTCTGCTTTGTTTTGCTGATTTAAGGTGTGTGACAGTTAAAGATAAAACTTCAATTCCCAATGAAGGATGTTCCTGTAAAAGCGATAACCATGCTTTAGTAGTATCAAAATCTTCAAAATTAGTGGAAATGAAGTTAACGGCAGTACTTTTCAGCAAAGCATCGTTATGCATATCTGCTAAAATTAAAATCTCAACGGCTGTGGAAGTCGTAAGGGAGGAAGTCATAAACTGTCTGCACATTTCTTTAAGTTCTAAGATGGCGTACTTGTCAGCGGCAGAATACAAGTCCCTGGCCATAGAATATGAAAGTGCGTTTGTCCTTCCAGTGTACACGAACATTAGAAGCTGCTGCAACACACAAGCATCAATGTCGGTGATGGTCACTCTGTTCTCTCTATTTTCTGTCACTGGGTGTTGGAACATGCTTGCAAAGATCGGAGATCTGGCAGAAAGAACGCATTTATGAACTTGAAATTCAGTGGTGTCACACTTGAGAATGAAGTCTGACAGATCTTTTTTTTCATACATAGTCTGCATATCCCGTGATAGATTAGACAAAGCCTTCACCTCAGTTGTTGAGACAAGCTTGTCTGAAACTGTCAGAATTTTGGATTCTGAATGATTTCGAGGTTTCCAGTCAGAATTATCCAATTTCGTTTCTCTAGGGACCCTTACCCACGTTTCTTGCTCTGCTTCATCAGAGGTTACATGAGGATATATAGATGATTCACTGGTATAGACATCACTTACCGAAACACTGAGCTTTATAGTAAAATGCCCATTGTTGAGGCTCAACCATTTTCGAGCGATATGCAACGGAAGTTTAACGAAAGCACTTAATTCGCATATAGACGTATTGATTGCAATCGTTTCAGAATCACTGCCTTCTGCTCCTGTAGTTATTAAAGTCAAAGTTCCTTCCAGGTCGAGAAATGTCCCTACTCTTTGCCTGCATAACCATAAAACAGGATTGTGTCTTCTCCGTTTTCCTATACCTTGCGGATAATAACAAAGATTCCATGTGTCATCATTCAGTCCAAAACGGCAGCTGGATATTGATTCTCCTTTATTCCAGTGTTTTTGCTCGAAAGTTCTTTCGCTTGAAATACTTTCCATTCACAAAACAAATCGTACGGCATGTCTATTTTATCTAATTTACAAATGCTGCAAAAGAGAGTAACATTTTAAGTTCTTTCGCTGTGATATACTTTCCATTCAAAAAACAAATCGTACGGCATGTCTATTTTATCTAATTTACAAATGCTGCAAAAGAGAGTAACATTTTAAGTTCTTTCGCTGTGATATACTTTCCATTCAAAACACAAATCGTACGGCATGTCTATTTTATCTAATTTACAAATGCTGCAAAAGAGAGTAACATTTTAAGTTCTTTCGCTGTGATATACTTTCCATTCAAAACACAAATCGTACGGCATGTCTATTTTATCTAATTTACAAATGCTGCAAAAGAGAGTAACATTTTAGTTCTTTCGCTGTGATATACTTTCCATTCAAAAACAATCGTACGGCATGTCTATTTTATCTAATTTTACAAATGCTGCAAAAGAGAGTAACATTTAAGTTCTTTCGCTGTGATATACTTTCCATTCAAAAACAAATCGTACGGCATGTCTATTTTATCTAATTTACAAATGCTGCAAAAGAGAGTAACATTTTAAGTTCTTTCGCTGTGATATACTTTCCATTCAAAACACAAATCGTACGGCATGTCTATTTTATCTAATTTACAAATGCTGCAAAAGAGAGTAACATTTTAAGTTCTTTCGCTGTGATATACTTTCCATTCAAAACACAAATCGTACGGCATGTCTATTTTATCTAATTTACAAATGCTGCAAAAGAGAGAACTTTTTTCAGGCACTTTTCATTTCATCAATAAATCCAAAACTTATACTTTTGATAATTTTTTATGGTTACCTGCAATGCAAAAATATCAGCTTATCTACTTTGAATATTATTTCTCTGCCTTTTACGAAATACGTTCGAAGCTTCTCTCTGAAAATGTTCTTCAAAAAATTCGCTGTGTATCGTTTGTCTGAATAAGTACACTTGGTTGCTTGTAAAATTCCAAGCTCTCTGTCGTAGACTGAAGTGAAAAGAGGGAGTTCCCCTTATTTTCACCATCTATAACTCTTTATAATACTACTTATCTGCATATTCAGCTGACACCTTCTCCACGTTGGATATCGCAATGTCGATAGGCGTGAGGTAGCACACACAACAAAAGAAAAAAACTATACTCGGCAGATAAGATATTAAGTGATAAAACTTCTGCGTTTGAGAGAACAGAAAGAAAAAAAATTATCATTATTTTTTCAAACATCTGTATATTTTTAAAAATGTCAATTTCTTTCAAAATGTCATCGGATCTGCCTTTTGCTTCCTTGTCGAAGAAGTATTATGGTCGCAAGAAATTTTGAAGATCATATGTCAACGGAAATAACAATTTTGACTATTCTGGAATTCATTTGCGCGACTTTTCGCATAAATTCTGTACGTACGGAGAGAATTAAGGACTTTTATTAAAAACGGATTGTAAAACAGATTCGAAATGAATTAATTCTTCTTACATACAATCACATACAGTCATAACACAAAAGATTAACAGTAGGCCATTGAAATTTTGCGTATTGTGCTACTATAATATCTAGTCCTGAACCTTCCTTTCTTGTTGCCACTGGCTCGACCAATATATATATGTAAAATATAAATATCTATCTTTCAAATGATAAGCCTTTAACTCCCTTCTTCATTCTAAAAATAACACAGCAATAATTTTCTAACTAAACGAAAAACCTCCGTCACCTAATCTGTATGGCGCACTTATCGACGAAATCTGAACTCAACATATGGACATTAAACTGTCATGTGATCTGAAATGTAATCCGATATAAAAGGTTAATTGCGTCGACACTTCCTATCTCTGGTCTCTTCTCTTCTGCTTCTTTTCGCTGGATCGCCTTGCCGCTAGTTTTACTTTTCCAATTTCGTTCATTGTTTAAGAAAATGTAACCTGTACAAAATTGGAGGCTGCATAAAGCAGCCGCAGTGATGATGTGCATTATCAAGGAATAAAGTTATGTGTGGAATTTACCGTTATGTCTTCTTCGAGCGTCATCTTTCTAACTACGTAGTTACGCCTCTGCAACGTCAATCCGTTGCAACTTTCCGTTAAGTCATCTTATTACACACACACATGTGTAATAATAGCAAGGAAATGACGGAGCAGTGTTGATGCGTAATACCTACATAGGATAGATCGTAGGTCTATATTTAAAAGGAAGAAATCTGCTAATATGTTGACTTCGTAATATCTAAGAAACTTCGCAGTCGAGGCAGTTTTAATACCATTTTTATTTCCAATTGACATTTGTGGTCAGGGTTCACTTGGCACTCTAGTCGTGCCTATTCACAGAACACTTACATTTTTGATATTATTGCCACAGGAAGCGAGCACAACGAAACAGCGACCAAGCAGCACAAAAGTTTAAGCTGAAAGTGGCGCATTTATCTAAAATGGAAGCTCACCAAGAGGAAGGTTTGGGTTTAGTTTAGAAAAGTTTCAGATCCCAAGCGTTACGTCATCAGCGCTGCGCATACCATGTAACACGGAATAATCTAGAAATGAAGCAATCCAGAGAAGTTATTGCGATTTTAGAACAGAGAGAAAAAAGGGTTATCTGTTAGTTTAAATTATAATTTTGATTTTCCCATTTTTTATCTTACACATTATATATATACTCACGCCCTCACTCAGAATATATATATATATATTCTTAAAGCTATAGCCTACGTATAAAGTGATACTTCGTTCCTATGCAAATAAGTATAAACACATAGTAAATATCCAATTGCAATATGAGATGTAAAAACATAGAATGTATGAAAAAATAAGAAAGAAAAATCTAAAGATGAATGCTTAACTGATTGGAATTTAAAGTTAAAATGTAAGTAAAATAAAGTGTAAGCTATCTCATTACATATTAGAACAAATACAACAAAATATCATATTAAAAATAATAGGAACCACAAGCAGCGGTAAATGAAATAATTAGCCTAATTCGAACATCATCATTGAGACTTTTCAAGGTAAATGCACATTGATATTCGAACTCTGCTAAATTCCAGAACTCGTTTCGTCGAACAGGCATTGAAACAGGATATATATATGTATATATATATATAAAGGACAGGTAAGGACTTAAGGCCGAGTGAGGGCGTGAGTAGATATATATATATATATATATATATGTTACGGTGAAACACTGAAATCTGAAGAATGTCGACTTTCACCGGTGAATGTCAACATTCACATAGTGTCTTGGTGTAGGTCCGAAATATTTTCCAAATACTCTTATTTCTGACTTACACCGGTCAATGTCGACATTCACCATGTACTAATGGTGAATGTTGAACATATAACAATATTATATTTTCTTCTCCGTAATTCAGTCGCGAATAAACGCACTTGAGACTTGAAATAAGAACTTAAGAACACGAGAACCTAAAACACACAATACATTCAAAATGAGAAAGGAAATAATATATTACTTAAACTTACTTAAAAGTAACTTAAAAGTTTACTTAAAAGTAAGTTTAAGTAAGTTAAAAACTTACTTAATTATACAGTACGTTCTAAATGAGAAAATAAAATAACAGTAATAAAAACTTACTAAATTATGTGATTCAAATCTTATTTATTGCAACAACTTAAACTATTATGGCACTTTATGACCTCTCTTTTCGACTTTCACCAGAGCATATCTGTGATTGTCGACATACACCGGTGAGGGTCCGAATATACAAGAATGTAGTGAAATATTCGGTCTTTCACCGACGTATTTGGTGAATGTTGATATTCTGCGGTTAAAGTCGATATTCTCCAATTTCGGTCTTTCACGGTAACATATGTATATATATATATATATATATATATATATATACTCACGCCCTCACTCGGCCTAAAGTCCTTACCTGTCCTTTATTTTCGCAATTCTTAGTCGTATTCATATATTTCCAATTATAGAAATGTTTTAAATGTCGAATATATTCATGTTTTGACAATATCAAATTTAAAAAAAAGAATTTTGGATAAATAACAAAATCTAATTTTAATGATATCTTCCAATTCTAATACTTAAATTTCGTAAACTTGTATATCCGTTAGGAAAGGATAAAAACGCAAAACGTTTAAATTCCTTATGCCAAAAGTTAATCGGACTATTTAATTTCAAAATTTGCAGTTTTTAATGACATTTTCTACTTGTCTTGAGGAATCGGTTAATTAAGTTACAGTAAGTTGAGGAAATAATTTAAATGAAGTGCAGTAAAATAAATGTGTAATTTATAACTCATGTGGTGTCCCTATTAAATTTTTTATTCCCTTGTACGAAGTAAAGGGAGTATTACTGTCGAGAAAAATTTCAGGTACCATATTTCAACAAAAATATCCATTTTGATCGCTTTTGAATCCATTTGAAAGATTTCTTTGTGGACATCTGCGCGTAAGAACAATATAAAGGACACTGGATTGAACTATGTTGTTCTTATGGTCCGGTTAAAGTTTTTATGACTTTAGTTGATCAACATGCAAGCTGCTTAAGTGCTACTAAGCCTAACGAATACACCATTTGTTGACACTTGAAACGCTTAATAAAATAGTGAATTCCCTGAAGTCAGTTCCTGCCCCTTCAGTGTCCTTTTACCGAACGGGACAAAAGTTAAAACTTCAGGTTTATGCACTGAAACATCTGCTTTCTTTCCAGCTGGCCGAATTGCTTGTTTTACAGTAGGAACTCTAATTTTAATCGCATTTTTTTTTAAAACTGTTTTAACTGTATTTGTGTTTTATTTTATTTTTAGTCCAAAGGGGCTTTCTCCCTGAAGGACTATTGTTTTCGTTTTGCGATTTTGCTTTGAATCACTATAAATGTCCGTTTCACTTTTCAAACTGTTGCCACCCAATTTTAGAGTCCTGCATTATATTTGAAGAAATTAAGTAATGAAAAATCTGCATAAATGTATGTATATTTCTCGCATTGATATAAAACAACGGTACGCAGACCATTGAATTTTGAATGACGTAATCCTCCTACGAATATGGGTATGTGGAAGATCAAATTTGAAATTTGGAATTTGTTTTATGATCGACTTCATATTTTGTAAAATTTTAACGAACTCTAGGATTTCAAAGCAAGCAAAGGCAACACTGTACGGGGGGGAAGGGACCTTTTTATCTCCAGCGCGCGGAACTGTGCATCGGAAATTCTAAAGAAAATCTCAGTTTTAAAATTATTTTGCGACATTGCTATTAGAACTGAATTTTATACTAATTCAGAAGTCAAACAACAAAAATCAGCATTATATTTTCAAATTTTCACAGGACTAGTTTCGATAGTTTTACCGAACCACCATCGTCAGCTGAAAAAGCACAATGGAAGCTGCAAAGCAAATTTGAAAATATAACGCTGATTTTTGTTG